GCATCCGATGACCATAAATGACAGCGCTACAGAGTATTCGTGGAATGTAATCATTAGCGGTTACAAAAAAAACTGCGTTTATTATTTGATTTTCAATTTAGTTGCCCGCACTGAATCTGAATTATTCATTGATACATTGTTTGTCATGATTTCATGAAATGAAGGCTTATGTGCAAGGATTGCTAATCTGGCGTAAACTTCTCATAAATGTTATATGGGAAATGCTGAAGATTCATAAACTGCAATCTAAATTTTTCTCTCAATTTGTTTTTTCATACAGAGTAACTATCTCTGGACAAGATCATGTCTTCAAAATTTCACCAAAAATGCATTTGTAGAAACATACCTGTAATTGAGTTTTGGGCCTGTGAAGTAAGAGTTCCAATGGGGTTAGTCAAATTTTTACTGATAATGACGATCTTTAAGTGTTAGTAAAATTTAACACAGATCATTAAGTGTAAAGTGATGAGTTGTTCAGCAAAGTAAATGAGTAGTTTGGGGAAATTTCCCAAATATGTGTTAAGTACCTTAAGTATGACGTTGGTTGCCATTAAGTAAAATGCTGAACATTCCTGCAGTTCAGATGGAGATGTATCCGACGTTTCTATGTGAGTAGTTATTTATATATGCTTTTATTATACCAGAAAGTCAATTGACAATTATCACATTTCAATTGACTTTGCAATAGATCGAAGAGCCCACATTTACTACTTATAAAACTACAGGGTTGTTTTATATCTTTCAATGATGATGTATTGTAAGTCAGCCTGGTGGCACAACATGTTGTAACATGCAAGTGCATATTAAAATGACTATATATGATAGTATAGGTCTATTTAAATGATTATGATTGATGTTTGCAGCTGCATTCAGAAAATTTTTAAATAAGAAGAAAAATAAAAGTTTTTCTATTTAGAAAAAAAAAAAAATAAACTTTATGACGTACATCCTTAGCACACACACACAGATAGCTGCAAACAATCAATGCAACATTCACACATATACACACACCAAGTATATTATCTATTTATGACCATATTGATGATCTTTCCCTGTCGATCAACATCGTCAGTTGTTGCTGGTTTCTTTGGGAACATCAACACCCATCATCTTCATCACCATCATAATTTATATTCCAAACAATTGCCAGATTTTTATATCTCATATTTTTGGAACACATATAGTGAAGGAGTAGTGTATTGCCTAAACAAATTTCTATGCCTTTGTTGCTGCCACATCTCTGCTTTTCAAAATTTATAGTCTTTAAAATTTGTTTATTTTATTTATTAGCAAATTGCAAAAAAAAAAAAAAATACTAAAACTCTTTGATCTATTACACAAAACTTTGAGACATATAAGAAAAACATTGATCGTGGTGTTTACTTGCTAAAATTTTATACTTTTTTTAAAGCCAAGCAAACATTTGCTTTTAATTTACATATTTTAACACATAAATGAAAAATTCTATTTTTACAAAAAGAGTACTTCAGTTCAGTTCTAGTTTAAGTTCAGTTCTAGTTCAGTTTAAGCTCAGTTCTAGTTCAGTTCTAGTTCAGTCCTAGTTCAGTTCTAGTTCAGTTCTAGTTCAGTTCTAGTTCAGTTCTAGTTCAGTTCTAGTTCATTTCTAGTTCAGTTCTAGTTCAGTTCTAGTTCAGTTCTAGTTCAGTTCTAGTTCAGTTCTAGTTCAGTTCTAGTTCAGTTCTAGTTCAGTTCTAGTTCAGTTCTAGTTCAGTTCTAGTTCAGTTCTAGTTCAGTTCTAGTTCAGTTCTAGTTCAGTTCTAGTTCAGTCCTAGTTCAGTTCTCGTTCAGTTCTAGTTCAGTTCTAGTTCAGTTCTAGTTCAGTTCTAGTTCAGTTCTAGTTCAGTTCTAGTTCAGTTCTAGTTCAGTTCTAGTTCAGTTCTAGTTCAGTTCTAGTTCAGTTCTAGTTCAGTTCTAGTTCAGTTCAGTTCTAGTTCAGTTCTAGTTCAGTTCTAGTTCAGTTCTAGTTCAGTTCTAGTTCAGTTCTAGTTCAGTTCTAGTTCAGTTCTAGTTCAGTTCTAGTTCAGTTCTCGTTCAGTTCTAGTTCATTTCTAGTTCAGTTTTAGTTCAGTTCTAGTTCAGTTCTAGTTCAGTTCTAGTTCAGTTCTAGTTCAGTTCTAGTTCAGTTCTAGTTCAGTTCTAGTTCAGTTCTAGTTCAGTTCTAGTTCAGTTCTAGTTCAGTTCTAGTTCAGTTCTAGTTCAGTTCTAGTTCAGTTCTAGTTCAGTTCTAGTTCAGTTCTAGTTCAGTTCTAGTTCAGTTCTAGTTCAGTTCTAGTTCAGTTCTAGTTCAGTTCTAGTTCAGTTCTAGTTAAGTTCTAGTTCAGTTCTAGTTCAGTTCTAGATCAGTTCTAGTTCAGTTCCAGTTCAGTTTTAGTTCAGTTCTAGTTCAGTTCTAGTTCAGTTCTAGTTCAGTTCTAGTTAGTTCAGTCTCTAGTTAGTTCAGTTCTAGTTTCTAGTTCAGTTCAGTTTCTAGTCAGCTCTTTCAGTTTTAGTTCAGTTTTAGTTCAGTTCAGTTCAGTTCTAGTTCAGTTCTAGTTCAGTTCTTGTTCAGTTCTAGTTCAGTTCCAGTTCAGTTCTAGTTCAGTTCTAGTTCAAGTTATAGTTCAGTTCTAAGTTCAGTTCTAGTTCAGTTCTAGTTCAGTTCTAGTTCAATTCTAGTTCAGTTCTAGTTCAGTTCTAGTTCAGTTCTGTTCAGTTCTATCAGTTCTAGTTCAGTTCTAGTTCAGTTCTAGTTCAGTTCTAGTTCAGTTCTAGTTCAGTTCTAGTTCAGTTCTAGTTCAGTTCTAGTTCTAGTTCTTCTAGTTCAGTTCTAGTTCAGTTCTAGTTCAGTTCTAGTTCAGTTCTAGCTTTCAGTCTAGTTCAGTTCTAGTTCAGTTCTAGTTCAGTTCTAGTTCAGTTCTAGTTCAGTTCTAGTTCAGTTCTAGTTCAGTTCTAGTTCAGTTTCTAGTTCAGTTCTAGTTCAGTTCTAGTTCAGTTCTAGTTCTAGTTCTAGTTCAGTTCTAGTTCTAGTTCTAGTTCAGTTCTAGTTCAGTTCTAGTTCAGTTCTAGTTCAGTAGTTCAGTAGTTCAGTTCTAGTTCAGTTCTAGTTCAGTTCTAGTTCAGTTCTAGTTCAGTTCTAGTTCAGTTCTAGTCAGTTCTAGTTCTGTTCTAGTTCTGTTCTAGTTCAGTTCTAGTTCAGTTCTAGTTCAGTTCTAGTTCAGTTCTAGTTCAGTTCTAATTCAGTTCTAATTCAGTTCTAGTTCAGTTCTAGTTCAGTTCTAGTTCAGTTCTAGTTCAGTTCTAGTTCAGTTCTAGTTCAGTTCTAGTTCAGTTCTAGTTCCAGTTCTAGTTCAGTTCTAGTTCAGTTCTAGTTCAGTTCTAGTCAGTTCTAGTTCAGTCTAGTTCAGTTCTAGTTCAGTTCTAGTTCAGTTCTAGTTTCAGTTCTAGTTCAGTTCTAGTTCAGTTCTAGTTCAGTTCTAGTTCAGTTCTAGTTCAGTTCCTAGTTCTAGTTCAGTTCTAGTTCATTCTAGTTCAGTTCTAGTTCGTTCCAGTTCGTTCTAGTTCAGTTCAGTTCAGTTCTAGTTCAAGTTCTAGTTCAGTTCTAGTTCAGTTCAGTTCTAGTTCTAGTTCAGTTCTAGTTCAGTTCTAGTTCAGTTCTAGTTTCAGTTCTAGTTCAGTTCTAGTTTCAGTTCTAGTTCAGTTCTAGTTCAGTTCTAGTTCAGTTCTAGTTCAGTTCTAGTTCAGTTCTAGTTCAGTTCTAGTTCAGTTCTAGTTCAGTTCTAGTTCAGTTCTAGTTCAGTCTAGTTCAGTTCTAGTTCAGTTCTAGTTCAGTTCTAGTTCAGTTCTAGTTCAGTTCTAGTTCAGTTCTAGTTCAGTTCTAGTTCAGTTCTAGTTCAGTTCTAGTTCAGTTCTAGTTCAGTTCTAGTTCAGTTCTAGTTCAGTTCAGTTCTAGTTCAGTTCTAGTTCAGTTCTAGTTCAGTTCTAGTTCAGTTCTAGTTCAGTTCTAGTTCAGTTCTAGTTCAGTTCTAGTTCAGTTCTAGTTCAGTTCTAGTTCAGTTCTAGTTCAGTTCTAGTTCAGTTCTAGTTCAGTTCTAGTTCTAGTTCAGTTCTAGTTCAGTTCTAGTTCAGTTCTAGTTCAGTTCTAGTTCAGTTCTAGTTCAGTTCTAGTTCAGTTCTAGTTCAGTTCTAGTTCAGTTCTAGTTCAGTTCTAGTTCAGTTCTAGTTCAGTTCTAGTTCAGTTCTAGTTCAGTTCTAGTTCAGTTCTAGTTCAGTTCTAGTTCTGTTCTAGTTCTGTTCTAATTCTGTTCTTGTTCATATCTAATATTGCAAGCGGTAAGTTATTGAAATAGTTTTTGAAATCGCGAGGGTACTGCAGTACCCCAAACGTACATTATCGATGCACCTCGCGCAATATCTTATATTTTTGTGTTTATTTGTTTGCTGGGATATTTTCTTACCTCCGTGTTAGTGTGTAACTAGGTTAGTAAGTTCCACACTGAAACTATTTCAAAATATTTACAAAATTTATTTTTCATATTTTTTTTGATTATCGTCGAAAACAAATCAAATCATTTTGAAAACTTTGATGCCTGAATAATGTAAATATTTTCATAGCCTACTAAATATTTTTAAATAATGATGATTATTAAACAATTTTCTATACATTTATAGCGTTCAATAATAAATTTTTTTTATAAAATAATATGTAGTTATGGAAAAATATTTAGATTATAAAAAATATTTAGAGTTATAAAATCCATGTAAATTTTGACATGAGAAGAAACCAATCGGTGATTAATTCCTTAGAACAAATAATGTTGGTCTATTAGAACGATTTATTGACACACAGACAGATGAACGGATATAGCTTAATCGACTAAGAAAGTGATTCTGATTCTAAAAGATACCTAACAGACGTGCACTACTTTTGTCACGCAGTTGATGTGTTTAGCTAGAAATTTTTTTTCCATAGTTTAATATAAAGAAATTTTTTTAAATTAATATGGAAATGTATATATTATTTATTTTTTAACAATTAATTATAATTTGAATTTCAAGAAATTTTCAAGACCCATTAAATTCCATTGAATATTACACCATAATTATTATTATTTACTGACAAACGTTTGTGTTTATTAAAGTGTATTTTCTCCAAAGTATTAGCAAAATTATAGCGCAAATCTTTACAAACTGAAAAAAGTAGAAAATAGTTTAAAAAATCTGTATAATTCTCAATATAGACTTACTTACCAACTTTAAAACCCTGTATATATATAAAACGCAAAAATCCCGGAAATTTTGGATTGTTTATTAAATCATGTAAAAGTTCTTTCGAAAACCAATCCAAACAAATTAGTTGCACTTTAGGATTTTTATACAATAAATCAAACCAAAAATCAATGGCCACTTCAAAAATTCGAGTGGGAATTTTAATACAATTAATATTCGTCACACATTTGAAGGCTTTTGTGGGTGTTAGTTTTAAATCTAGATGATGATAATTTAAATGTTTGATGGTAAATTCCTGAAGAGATAAATGCTTCTCTAATATTTCTATAACATAAGACCAGGGAAAATTTGCGGGTACATTTCTTAATGTTAGAGAATGTAAAGAGTTTAATTGTAAGAGAATTTCCAGTGGTATAAAACCTGACTCAATTTCCAGTTGTTGTAAGTTGGGACAGTTAAAAGCATAAACTTGTCGTGGAATTGCATAATCGTCATGCCAGATCAATGAACGTAGATTTTCATTGGCTTCATAGGCTCCTTTAAAATCGGGGGTTTTTAAAATTTCTATCTCTAAAAATTGTATTTTGCTGGATATAATAAAATCTTCAAATTTGCCTTCGTATTTGGTCCATAAAGAGGTAAATTTTTGCAAATTCATTTCGGTTAGTATTTGACGTAGATTTGAATGGCTTAATCCTTGACAGATTTGTATATTTAATTCCTTCAAACTGCTGAGCTGTTGAAAATTATTAATATTTTCAAATGTCGTATAGTTGATGGATAATGTTTTTAATTTTTCACAAGTATTAGCTAAAACGATTAAGAACTCCCGATTTATAATGCCGATATCTTGTAATGTTAATACTTTGAGATTTTTAAAACCCTGAAAATATAAACCCCATTTCATATCCGTTAAGTTAGTTCCAATTTCTAATTCTTCTAAGGCATTGACTTCCCACTGATCTTCATATATATTAACCTTTTCCTTTTCTATTTTATACTTCAAATATAATTGTTTAAGTTTTGATTTGGTAATTAATTCGTGAAAATCTTCATAACTTAATGTCAATAACATGCTGCTTCCCATGCACAAATATTTCAATTGCTTCATATCTAATAGTGTCTTCAACTTTAGATCTCCGCCCAATGCAAACACATCACATTTGTCATTGAAACAGCTATAAATGCTTAACTTCTCCAAAGTCGTACTATATCTGGCTATACTTTGTATATCCGCTTGTGTTAAAATCATATTATTGCAACTTAGCGATATTAAATTTGGTATTTTTTCAAGACTTAAAACAAAATGGCGTTTTTCATAAATTTCTTTTATATCTACACCGATTTCTTTTAACTCGCTAGGGCATAACTCATATTTACTTAAATATTGTAAATTCAGCTCTTTTATATCTGAGCCATATAGATTTATGAATTCTTCAAGTTCCGCCAAACTCAAGGCCAACATGTTTATATTGGTCTCATTGCAAACCAGAAAATCTTGTGGACACTTAATAATAACCAGTTTTTCATAATCAACATTCCAAATAAAATTCCGGTATAAATTTTTCAATTGTAATGTTACTTGAGCTAGCGTTAATTGGTCCTTCAGACTTAAATATTGAAAAATCGTTTTAGTTATTATATTATTTTGTGTTAAATTCTCGAAATCATGGAAATGTCCTGGTGACATTGTTTTTATAGTAATTCTTTATTTCCCGATAGTACTCCTCGAATACAATTTATTTTTTTGTTATAAACTTTAGAAACCCACTTAGATGTGTTAAGCTTACGAGTTTTAGAAAGAATAACAGTCCCAAAGATGATTTTCTTTTTCATATTATATTAAGTTAGAAAGTATTCTATGTTCATTATCTTGTTTGCAACGTTTTATCGCTTTAGAAAACTTACTTTACTAACATATGAGCAATAAGTCTAAAGGGGTTTTGGACCACCCATTTCAGATTCTCATTATTAAAATAAATTGTTAAAAAAATCCAAACAATAGGTCTAGGGCTTCCTAGACTCCACTATCTAGGTAGTATTCTTGTCGATTTACTATTGATGTTTATATTTTTTAATAATTGGAAATACAATATTAACTAACCGCATATCACAAGATAAATTAATCAGATTTTATTCATATAGTCATGATTAAATCGTCTTTGAATCATTAAATTGTTTTTAATTTCCATTTTTATGAAAAACTATAAAAATAACAAGAGTTTATATTCGTCTCATCGCCATAATCATTATTTGTTAATCTGAGAATTTCAGAATGCGACCCTCGATATACATCGATATTCTTTAAAGATTTTTGGACAATAAACTGATTTTCCGTTAGAGGTGTTATATCTATATAGACTATAGTCCAGACTATAGACTATAGACTAGACTATAGACTAGACTATAGACTAGACTATAGACTAGACTATAGACTAGACTATAGACTAGACTATAGACTAGACTATAGACTAGACTATAGACTAGACTATAGACTAGACTATAGACTAGACTATAGACTAGACTATAGACTAGACTATAGACTAGACTATAGACTAGACTATAGACTAGACTATAGACTAGACTATAGACTAGACTATAGACTAGACTATAGACTAGACTATAGACTAGACTATAGAGTAGACTATAGACTAGACTATAGACTAAACTATAGACTAAACTATAGACTAGACTCTAGAATAGACTATAGACTAGACTAGACTATAGACTAGACTATAGACTAGACTATAGACTAGACTATAGACTAGATATAGACTAGACTATAGACTAGATAGACTAGACTATAGACTAGATTATAGACTAGACTATAGACTAGACTATAGACTAGATTATAGACTAGACTATAGACTAGACTATAGACTAGACTATAGACTAGACTATAGACTAGACTATAGACTAGACTATAGACTAGACTATAGACTAGACTATAGACTAGACTATAGACTAGACTATAGACTAGACTATAGACTAGACTATAGACTAGACTATAGACTAGACTATAGACTAGACTATAGACTAGACTATAGACTAGACTATAGACTAGACTATAGACTAGACTATAGACTAGACTATAGACTAGACTATAGACTAGACTATAGACTAGACTATAGACTAGACTATAGACTAGACTATAGACTAGACTATAGACTAGACTATAGACTAGACTATAGACTAGACTATAGACTAGACTATAGACTAGACTATAGACTAGACTATGACTAGACTATAGACTAGACTATAGACTAGACTATAGACTAGACTATAGACTAGACTATAGACTAGACTATAGACTAGACTATAGCTAGACTATAGACTAGACTATAGACTAGACTATAGACTAGACTATAGACTAGACTATAGACTAGACTATAGACTAGACTATAGACTAATACTATATATTAGACTATAGACTAGACTATAGACTAGACTATAGACTAGACTATAGACTAGACTATAGACTAGACTATAGACTAGACTATAGACTAGACTATAGACTAGACTATAGACTAGACTATAGACTAGACTATAGACTAGACTATAGACTAGACTATAGACTAGACTATAGACTAGACTATAGATTAGGCTATAGACTAGACTATAGACTAGACTATAGACTAGACTATAGACTAGACTATAGACTAGGCTATAGACTAGACTACAGACTAGACTATAGACTAGACTATAGACTAAACTATAGACTATACTATAGACTATACTATAGACTAGACTATAGACTAGACATTTTAAGGAAACTGGTTCTATTGCCGGCAAATACAACTGATCATACCAGATTAAGGTTTTTAAATTATCATTCGCTTCATATGCTCCCTTAAATAGACTGGTTTTTAATTTGTGAATTTCTAAATATTGTATTTTCTCGGAAATGGGAAAATTTTCAAAAGTACCTTCGTATTCTGTTTGCAATGAAGAAAATTTTACTAAATTCATTTGGGTAAGTATTTGCCGTAGATTTGTATGTGTTAAACCTTGGCAGAGTTGAAAGTTCAATTCTTCAACACTACCCAACAAATTAACGTTTTTGACATTTACAAATGTTGTAAAATTGATGTTTAATTTTTTTAGTTTTTTACAAGTATTGGCTAGAACTTGTACTGTGGCATCATCTATGTCATCTGCCTTGTTAAGGGTTAAAATGACAAGATTTTTAAAATGACTTAAATAGGTGGGAAAGTTCTTTTCATACCATTTCTCTTGAAATGTGGTAGAAATATCCAATTCCTCTAATGAATTGTTGTTTTCTTTGTTTATCATACACAATCTTTCGTCCGATTCTATATAGTATTTTAGTAATAAATGTTTGATATTAGTTTTAGTTACAATATCATGAAAATATCTATATTTCAAGGGTAATTGTATGCAACTCTCCAGAGACAACCAGGTTAGTTTTTTTCATCTGCAATATAGTTTTGATCTCTAGATCTCTACCCAATTCAAACATATCTTTCTGTTTATTGCTGCAGGTATACATACGAAATTTCTCCAAGTTTTTGCAATATCTCACCACACATTGTATTTGTGGCTTAGTTAAAGTCATATTACTATAACTTAAAGAGGTCAGATTGGGAAATTTCCTTATATCTAACCAAGGATCACATTTCTCATCAAGTTCTTTTATATCGTTACCATAGTGCCTTAAAAATTCTGCAAATTCTGTAGCTGTTAATTTCAATTTATTTAAATCAGTTTCATTTTTTACATGAAAATTTGGAGGATGTTTAATAATGCAAATTTTCGCATAATCAACTTTCCATATAAAATTCCTAAAGATATATTTCAATTGCTGAGAAACTTGCGCTAGTCTTAATTGTTCCTCAAAGTTTAAATGTTGAAAAATCGATTGCATTATTTCTAGGTTTGTTGCAAGTTTATCGAAACCTTGTAGATTCATTGTTGTCGTTAGTGTTGTTGTTGTTTTGACCCAAATGTAGTACGCAATTGTTTATCTATTCGCAAAAGTTCGTATTTTTACAACTTTTTCGTACGATTGTATAATATTGTTGTAAAAGCACTGCACTAGTGTTGGTTTATATATTCACACAGATATGACGTCCCCCTTGATGCTTTTACGTTGAGAGCTTTACAAAGACTAACGCCAGACGTACTTTTGCCGCTCTATTTTCGTGATCCCTTAGTAGCGATTTTGAATTTAATTATTTTATTAAGATTTTTAATTTATATTTAAAGTAATGATCACATTCTAGACATACATCGCTCTTCGTGACACCTAATATAAAAAACGTATTACTGCTTAATCAGCGCATTTAATAGATCGTCAGTAGGCCTAACTGTTTCGAAAAAGGATTTTCATACTCCTCTGGTTGTGAAATCAAACAAAATCGAAGAATGGTCGAGAGAAAATATCTACAATGCTTTGTCCCTACCACTGGAAATTACCTTGACTCTCAAGTTTTCTTTAGGTATACTCACTGGGCACTTTACAATTGGACGGATGTCAAATCATATAAGCTTCCCAAGTAACTAAGAAAGATAGGACCTTGTGGATCAAGTTACTAACAAGAGAAGAATGGACTGCAAACACTGACGACATAATCTCAGTCTACACTGACGGTTTAAAAATTCCTATTGGATTGCTCAATGAACTGTTCTTCAGGCTACAATTTTCATTAAGTCTAGAGACAATTAAAATCTTTGTGGATCTAGAGACAATTAAAATCTTTGTGAACTGTCTTGTATCTTTAAAGACTTAAGACAACGATCGATATTCATTTCTTTTCCAAACTTTGACGAATCTCTTTCGAATTGATTTCGGTTGCAGGAAATGAGGGTTAAGAATGCACAATTGTTAAAACGTCCCTAGACGTAACGTTTTCGAAGAAGAATAGAAGAAAGTCCGACAGAAAAATTGGTATTTAACTAGTCTGCTATCAGCACGATTCTCTTTCGTATTGATTTCGGTTCCCGAACATTAGGGTTAAGAAAGAATAGAAGAATTTCCGAGAAATTCGAACTTAAGTGGTGCTGCGAGTGGAAAGTATCTTGACTTTCTTGGAAGTTGATAGAAATTCGTTAAGTCTTCTTATAAACATACTCACTGAATACTATATGATTGCACGGATATCAGATCGTATAAGTAACTATACAGGAAGAATAGGTACAATTACTTTTGTGTGAATGTCCCTTTTATAATCTGGATTGTCTTAAGGTAAGTAGCTAACAAATCTTCTCAAATTTCTTAGGACATGAAGAAGGAATAATTTTAATTTCATTTTAATATAATTTTCCGATTATATATAGGGTCCTTATATATAGCGGAGTTGATTAAGCTATGTCCGCCTGTATGTTTGTGAAATCAATTTTCTTTAGACCCCAGATATCTTCGGGACCGAAACTTCAACAATTCTCTTAGACATGCTTTCGAGAAATTTCCTATTTTAAGCATGTGGAGCCCGAAGAACCTATAAAATGGGACTTTTCGGTACTTTTTCGTTCTCCAAAATATACTTTTTGAATTTTCTATATTATTGAACCTAGAAACATGAAATTTTGAATGTAGAACCTATAAAAAGGGACTTTTTGGTACTTTTTCGTTCTTAAAAAGGAACTTTTTGAATTTTCTTTAATACTGAACCTAGAAAATTAAGAATGTAGAGCATGGTGTCAATTAGAATATATGTATAAAAGAGGACTTTTTGGTACTTTTTCGCTCTTCAAAATGTAGTTTTTGAATTTTCTATAATATTGAACCTAGAAACTTGAAATTAAGCATTCAGGGTCCTAAGTGAATGAAAAGTCTGTAGGAAAGGATTTTTGATACTTTTTTGTTCTTTAACTGGTACTTTTTGGTTTTCATATAATATTGAATCATATAATTCTGATGGAATGAAAACCTATAACAGTGATTTTTCGGTACTTTTTTGGTCTTAAATAGGTACTTTTTTATTTATTTTAATTAACAAAAATCTTTATTAAATAAGTATTTTATTTTACGTTAAATAATATACCATATTTATTTTCATAGGCCGCATTTCTGGAATGATGTGTGTATAACTGTATTTTCCTTATTATAGATTCCATGTTGTGCCTCAACTCTTTACAAGCTGGAAAAAAGATTGCTTTTAGGAAATAATACTACTCTCTAGCCGTATTGTATTAACGTACTGTTTTACGTTATAATAGTTAATAGTCTAGCCTAGTATCTCATATAGCTCATAGTCTAGTCTATAGTATAGTGTATAGTCTAGTCTATAGTCTAGTCTAGTCTATAGTCTAATCTATAGTCTAATCTATAGTCCAGTCTATAGTCCAGTCTATAGTCTAGTCTATAGTCTAGTCTATAGTGTAGTCTATAGTCCAGTCTATAGTCTAGTCTATAGTCTAGTCTATAGTCTAGTCTATAGTCTAGTCTATAGTCTAGTCTATAGTCTAGTCTATAGTCTAGTCTATAGTCTAGTCTATAGTCTAGTCTATAGTCTAGTCTATAGTCTAGTCTATAGTCTAGTCTATAGTCTAGTCTATAGTCTAGTCTATAGTCTAGTCTATAGTCTAGTCTATAGTCTAGTCTATAGTCTAGTCTATAGTCTAGTCTATAGTCTAGTCTATAGTCTAGTCTATAGTCTAGTCTATAGTCTAGTCTATAGTCTAGTCTATAGTCTAGTCTATAGTCTAGTCTAGTCTATAGTCTAGTCTATAGTCTAGTCTATAGTCTAGTCTATAGTCTAGTCTATAGTCTTTCTATAGTCTAGTCTATAGTCTAGTCTATAGTCTAGTCTATAGTATAGTCTATAGTCTAGTCTATAGTCTAGTCTATAGTCTAGTCTATAGTCTAGTCTATAGTCTAGTCTATAGTCTAGTCTATAGTCTAGTCTATAGTCTAGTCTATAGTCTAGTCTATAGTCTAGTCTATAGTCTAGTCTATAGTCTAGTCTATAGTCTAGTCTATAGTCTAGTCTATAGTCTAGTCTATAGTCTAGTCTATAGTCTAGTCTATAGTCTAGTCTATAGTCTAGTCTCTAGTCTAGTCTATAGTCTAGTCTCTAGTCTAGTCTATAGTCTAGTCCATAGTCTAGTCCATAGTCTAGTTCATAGTCTAGTCTATAGTCTAGTCTATAGTCTAGTCTATAGTCAAGTCTATAGTCTAGCCTATAGTCTAGTCTATAGTCTAGTCTATAGTCTAGTCTATAGTCTAGTCTATAGTCTAGTCTATAGTCTAGTCTATAGTTTAGTCTATAGTCTAGTCTATAGTCTAGTCTATAGTCTAGTCTATAGTCTAGTCTATAGTCTAGTCTATAGTCTAGTCTATAGTCTAGTCTATAGTCTAGTCTATAGTCTAGTCTATAGTCTAGTCTATAGTCTAGTCTATAGTCTAGTCTATAGTCTAGTCTATAGTCTAGTCTATAGTCTAGTCTATAGTCTAGTCTATAGTCTAGTCTATAGTCTAGTCTATAGTCTAGTTTATAGTCTAGTCTAGTCTATAGTCTAGTCTATAGTCTAGTCTATAGTCTAGTCTATAGTCTAGTCTATAGTCTAGTCTATAGTCTAGTCTATAGTCTAGTCTATAGTCTAGTCTATAGTCTAGTCTATAGTCTAGTCTATAGTCTAGTCTATAGTCTAGTCTATAGTCTAGTCTATAGTCTAGTCTAGTAGTCTATAGTCTAGTCTATAGTCTAGTCTATAGTCTAATTTATAGTCTAGTCTATAGTCTAATTTATAGTCTAGTCTATAGTCTAGTCCATAGTCTAGTCTATAGTCTAGTTTATAGTCTAGTCTAAAGTCTAGTCTATAGTCTAGTCCATAGTCTAGTCTATAGTCTAGTTTATAGTCTAGTCCAAAGTCTAGTCTATAGTCTAGTCTATAGTCTAGTCAATAGTCTAGTCTATAGTCTAAAATTGACGGATAATACAATTTCTAATCAAAGACATAGAACGAGTTATAAAACAAAACTTACCAACTTTAATGCCATTTATATATAGAGTCTTCAACGAGGTCGGAAATTTTGAACTTTCCAATAATGAGCGTACAAATTCTATTACAATTATGCCCGTACAATAAAATTTGATCTGAGGATTTTTCGCCACCACATCGAGCCAAAAATCAATGGCCATTTCAAAAACCCTAGTTGATATTTTTATATACTCAAGATTTGCAGCACATCGAGGGGCTTCTGTAGGAGGTGTTACTAAAGTCCAGCAATAGGCTGCATTTAATATACAGAATTCCCTTAGAGAAACATGATCTTTAAGCAATTGTGAGATATAAGACCAGGATAAATTGTCATGGGGATTCACAATTGAAAAGGTTTTTAAAGAAGTCAATTGCAATATCAAATCAAGAGCAATAAACCCCGATTTAATTTCAAGATATTTCAAATTGGGACATTTTAAAGAGATCGGCTGCCAAGAAGCTATATAATAATTGTCATACCAAATTAATGAATGTATATTATTATTCTGTTCATAGGCACCTTTAAAATGATATGTTATTAATTTGTGAATGTTTAAATCGAGAATTTTCGTGGAAAGGGGAAAATCTTCAAATTCACCCTCGTAAAGCGTTTCGAGAGAAGAAAATTTTCTTAAATTCATGACCGTAAGCAATTGACGTAGATTTGTTTGTGTTAAACCTTTACACTCCTGGAAATGTAATTCTTCCAAACTAGTTAATAGGTTAAAGTTTGAGATATTTTTAAATGTGGCCCTTTTAAAGGTTAACTTGTTTAATTTTTTACAACTATGGGCTAACAGCTGCAATATTTTATCATCTATATTGTTAACATTGTTAAGTGTTAAAATGAAAATATTTTCAAAGTGTTTTAAATAGGAGTTGCCCCACAACTGTTCATCAAATTTAATAGAAATTTCCAATTCCTTCAAGGTATTTTTATATAGTTCGTTTGTGACAAATAATCTCTGATCTCCCACCAGCTGGTAATTCAAACGTAAATGTTTGATATTGGTTTTAGTAACTAAATTGTGAAAATCTTTATATTGCAATGGTAGTTCTGTGCAGCTATCTTGACTAAACCATTTTAAATTTTTCATTTTCATTATCATTTTTATCACAAGATCTCTGTCCCTTTTAAAT